TTTTTTTTTTTTTGGTTCTTTGAATAACATTCCGTTTGTGTGTATTAATATAGCATCAATATAAACAAAATAATTATTCAAAATAAATAAATAAAATAAAAATGATTTAAATGTAATACCAGCAATTTAAACTTAATTATTTCAAATAAATGTACATTAAATTGAGTTTATACTTATTGCTATTTACTTTACTATACTTTTTGTGGAGCAGAAAACAAGAATTAATAAAATAATAAAAATAACCAACAACTAAATTGAGTTTAAATCTGCATCCGAGTATTTAACTAATTATTTTGTGTATGATCTCTTATTTAAAGAGTAAGATTCAAATTTTTTTTCCTTTAATAATATAAAAATAAAATTGAGTTTAAATCTAAAATAAAAAGAAAAAGAAAAAGAAAACAGCGAAACGCAGCGTTCTGAAGAAAATTGTACTAATTCTTTCCCGCTCAAACCAAACAGAATCAAATGGGTGCGATAGAGGCATAGCAGAACCGCCTGAAACCGCCGCTGGCAACACTGTTGAAGTCCTCGTCACCGTAACAGCACCTTAGCGAAACAACAACGCAGCGTTTCCCTTCTTTCTGATTCCCTAGAGAAAAGGGTACAATGGTAATTTCATTATCTTTCACATTTTTGCGTTTCCGGGTGTATTACTCCGTCTTCACAATTTCTGACGAATTGTTTGTCAAAATGTCTGAACGAATTTGGGGTCTTATACCCTGTGGTATTTATGTTTTATTATTTAACAAACACAATGTAGAAATAAAATCATTGGTGTCTTGGTTGGTAATTAAAACTAGATTTTTTTTGAAAAAATTTTTTTTGCCAAAATTTGTGCTTCAAGTTTATGTGCTCTATTTTGCTTACAGGAAGTTAATGAACAGGCTAGATGCAGAGAGTTGGCTAAGTCGTCCTCATTTTACCGCACAGTTTACTCAGAGGTCACTTAAAAATTTCTTTTTTTAACTTATTCTTATATGGGTTGTGTTTGAAATTCCTTGATGTTAATTTATTTAAACAGGTAGAAGAGGTTGGATGGGAGCATTTGGTGAGATTGGACGGAGATCTAACTTTCCTTAGCTTTCGTGTTTTGTAAGGAACTTTTGATTGTAATCACTATCAACTTAATATCATTTTCCTAAAGGAAGGAAACAACTTTTGGTTTTTCAGGTTATTTTCTAAGTGTATTGTCTGGCAATAATCATGTCAAATAAATAAGAGACAGACTGACCGGTGGGGTTGATGTTAAACTTTGCAATTTGTTCTGTGATTTTCTTCACTTTAAGTGGATAATTAGTGCTTCAGGGTGCAATTGTTGGAAACAGTTTGAATTACGTGTCGAAGGATGTAATTTACCTTGTGAGAGTAAGGGAGCCTAAATTGTATTTTCAGTTTACCTAAAATTAGATGAGTGCATTTTTTTCCTGAATTTGAGATCAGGGGAGTGCTGAGTGATCATTGACTATAGCTCTTGTAGGCAAGTGCTAGTTCAATTGCCAGGGTTGGTCTCCAGGTTGTGGATGTCTTGAATCATTTTTGCAATATCAATTGCTAGCTGTTTTTTAATCTGTCATTGTTATCAATGTTATAACCATGTATCTTTATATCTTTAATATATTTTTGACACATCAGTCGCTATATCTGTATCTATATCTTTAATTTTTTTGACACATCTGTTGCTATATCTTTAATATATTGAAGACTTGAATATATATTCTCAAAATTGATTAATAATTGATATTGGCGTTATAAAATCCTCGATACACCATATATCTCTGTATACTTGTCAACATATTCCCATTGTTTGAACTTCAATATATTTGTCAGTATCAATATTGTAAACTTGGTCTTACTCTCCTTTTGTGTTTCATGTTCATATCCTATTTATTACTAGTTGCTTATAGTTGTACATTTTGGTGCTAGAGATAAGAAGGGAAGAGTGCATATCATGGAAATTCAGTTGGATAAAGCCTATCCTAGAGTTCCACCAATGGTTTCAGCGGTTTGTCTCCTATCTTTTTGGTCCTAATGCTTCCGATGAAGACCTTATATTTACTCTGTTCTTTTTTTATGAGAAATAATATATTTATATTTACTTTATTCTGTCGTCAGGATGTACCCTATATCTTCAATTTAAAATGGTCAATGAACTCAAGATTGAAAAACTTGGTGCAACAATTTCAGGAGGTATTTGTTTTAACATTTCTGAATGCCACACAGTTCCATTTTGCTTCAAATCACTTTTTGGTGCGATGGCCTATTTTAGTATTTGGTAGTACTTAGGAGTTTTCCTTCTGTATCCAGCATCTGGAGAAGCTTCAAGGATTCTGGTCTACTTTGGACGAGATTGACAGGTCTCTATGGGTTGTTGAGTCAAAGCAGGCATCTCGTGCCATGTCTTGTCGTCAAATTCACGTAGGTGAGCCATTACTTGATCAAGCATCATCTTAAGTATATTACTTTGTTCTTGTCCCCTGTTATTATTAAACAACTTTACGCATGTTTAATTATTTGCTTCTCAGGAAATGATTGCTTCGTCATGTTGTGCATTAATATCAATGACCCTAGATCATTACCAGAGTAAGAGTTCATATGAAATTACATTGAAAGCTGCTAGGAGTTTCTTTTTGTGTATGAGTACTGAATTTTTAAGTTGTGGTAGGTGTCGTTTTATGGGTTCAGGTACTATTGTGAACTCCTTGAGAAAGATATGGAAAAGAAATAGCAATAAATGGTATGACCTTGCGTCTCATCCTGGATTTTAGCAAGTATTTTTAACTTTTGCACTTGTTAAGTGAAGGTATGGTTAGCAGAGGGGAAAAATTACAGATATAGCTGCTAAATTTTCTGCATGCAGTATGTTAATTCCTTCTCTAGTGATGAAGTATAGCTTAATTAGATTCTTGAAGGCTTCCATTTAATTTCATATTTAAAGGATGGAAGCTATAAAATTGTGGTTTGACTGGGGATAAGTTTCACTCCATTTTAGTAATTTTTATTTCTTATGTTTTAAGGAAAAAAGAGCTAGTCCTTCTCTCTTCTGTCTCTCTAAGGGGTTGTAATTGTAGAATTCTTGAACCTGTTATGTGGAAGTTACTTTTTGGTAAAAGTGTATTTTATGTGATATACTTATTATATTTATATAGTCTGATTAATTGTGTAGGATGAGTAATAAACCCTTTACAGAAAATATTGAGTGTCTTCTGGAGACCCAACTGCCAAGGCCCCCTGACAAAGAGGAGAACAATCTTCTAGTTGAATGTGGAATCTGTTATGCTCAATATCTCCCTATTGGTAATGCTTTACATGCTTTAGATGTTTGTTTACCATTGTTTATAAGCATGCCATTAACTTTGTTATGTTCATGTAGGTGATGAGCTTGTACCTAAAAGTGGAAGTGGAACTGATTATACTTGTGAAAATAACAATTGCAGTAAGGCTTTCCACAGCATGTGCTTAGTGGACTGGTTGCGATCTATCACGACAACAAGGCAGTATGTTGAGCTCTTAGTGTGCTTGTGTCTTTTAATCTAGTTCATGCCAGAGTATAACTTTAGTTCCTATGCGCTGTGTGTTGTGATCAGTTGTAAATTGATTGCTTGTGGCATTTCCTGCCTCTGGCATGGGCTACCAGTCTGCTGAATGACCAATCATGCTAACAAATTGGGTCACTTCATCCTTGTTCATGTCCTTGTTTATGTCTTATTGATCTAGTACGCTTAGTTCCCTTGTGAAGGGGTGGGAACCACCATGACTGATCTCATTTTCTTCAGTTTCGATTAGGTTCTCTAGTGCAACTCTACTCAGAAGGGACCTACATGAAAGTTGAAGGGGCAATATCGAATATGTATTGTGGATGTTTTCTGGGATTTGGATGCATCTGCCACGTTTTACCAAGCTTTTAAATGCACAAATACATTGTCCAAAATATTGTACAAAAAATTATGGGAGCTTTGTCACCCATTAGGTTGAATGGTGTTAAGGTTTTATAAGTTGATGACAGAGAATTTTTGCATTTTTTTTTCTGTGATTTTACAAATGGCTCTGTCAGTTATATGATTCCAGGTACCGTCCTTTCATACATTGTAAATCAGATTGGCTTTGAATATGCCTCATTGCTTTTGCATTCCCCACTTTTGATTGAGCTGTTAAGCAGATCCATGTAATGTTTTTCCCCTTCCCAACACTCAAACAAGTTCCCACGTAATTGTCCAACTATCTTAAAAGTTTTATGTGCGAAATTTTCTGCAATTACTTTATGAGAAAATATTAGTGGAAAGTGATATTCCATGGTATTGAAAGGCTAAACTAGCACTAAGGGTCTTTTTCATCTCATAACATATCATATTTACAATGGGGTTTCTCTTATTTTTCGTTGGCAACTTGGTTGCTTGATTTATGGTTGTGAATGCTTGTGTTGCAGGTCATTCAATGTTCTGTTTGGGAATTGTCCGTACTGTTCAGAGCCAGTTGCAGTCAAGACTAATACAACAAAGAATTAGAGACTTTCATTATCCAAGCTGACTCATCCTGCCAACCTTGGAGGTGTATGGAATTTCTTAACGCAAAGCAGCAAAACTTCTGATGTCATACACTATAAAATTGGAATGATTGAAGCCTTTTTCTCCATGAATAAGTTATTGAAATTTCATTTCCATTTTGCTGAAATCATAACCTTTAAACTAAGATTGTTACAGTATCCAATGTAGGGTTGTGCCCACTTGTACTGTTGCATTTACGGTGACTTATGAACAACAACGACTTGTGGCTTTCCTTCATTATATTTTGTCTTGGCCTTATCTTAGGCCCTAGTGACTTTGATTAAAACCTTTTTCATTTGATTGGTTGTCCATCCTAAAATGTCGATCTTTTGCTGCCAATTGATTCATTTCTTTGACGTTGTATGTCCTATTCCAACATTTTGTTGCCAAAGTCAGATGAACTTTTTAATTGAAACATTAAGCATTTTTCCTACATACTGGCTGCGTGACAGAACTCAGTCCAAACTTAAGCACCCTAATCAAGAGTTCAACCGACTTGTTCACACTGGGGATTCTTTTATGGGAATTGAGTGAACCAACTTCCATCTCTGCACTTGATCTGTTGGAAGGCGTGTTAAAATATGATTAAATGGAATCAAGTTGCAGAAGATATTGCAGCTGGCTACCGCTTCACAGCGTGGTCCCTGCTCTCTAGTTTTAATGGCAGCCGATTGGGGTCGTATCGTGATTTACGCCTGTTGGGGCCTTGGACTGTAAATACTAGTAAATACACCTAAAATGAAGATAGACGGTTCTCCCGATGTTGTTCATTTATTTGAGTATGTTAGCAGCTCACATGAATTACAGGTCCTTGTGGATTGAATGATCAAACAGGATTGAATCCAAATCGTCCTCTTCTCTACCCCATTTTCGTTCTCTTCTTTACCCATATACAAGCATTTAAAACTATCAAATTTAAGTGAGCATGCAATTTGCATATCTCGACCCAGACACATTTCATACTCTAAAACTAGGCCAGCGGCACTCAGTTTTCATTTTCTTTCTAATTGATGCAAAATTTAATCAGCAGCTACACCTTTTGTTTAGCTCTTTCAAGTATGGCGTAACCTAATTTCGACCTCTCATAATATGGACGAGATCGATGAACCGAAGACTAAACCTTCATCTGGGACCGTGAATGTGGTGCACATGCTTAATCAAGAGCCTAATTGATGGAATTTCAAGGACCAAATGGATCAAATACTGGCCAAGCATTCAAGAGCAAAACAATACATCAAAAAGGGGGACCATTCAAAGATCAATTAAAAGCAAATATTGAAGCACTATTGAATTTCCTGCCTGTATTGTGTCATTTCGTTCCAATAAATCTATTTTGTTTTTTGTGTCGTTGTCAAGAACCCATAAAATGGACCAACCATTCTCTTCTTTTTCAAGGAAGCCAAAGATTTTGGCCTTGGGCATGAGAAATGAGAACTGATGCTACAACAATGTAAGAAGATAAAAGTTTAAATTAATAAGCAATCGTTTTGGCAAAGGCATTTTTTTTGGCACAAAATGCCATGCGCCAAATACAGACAAATAGATGTCTACAATGATAAATTGACTTTGCCCATTACAGGAATCCCATCTCTCACCTCACAATAATATGCACACAAGAATAACTTATTCCCCTTTATAACCCCAATTTTTTGCATGGCTCTTAACTATATATTGTACAAAGGGAGGCATATACGTAAGTATGACATGAAACGTATGTATATTAAATATTCTGGACAGTTGATATGGGATGGAACTTTGGGATAGGATTAATTTTAGATGCCGGCCATGCACTCCGGCGGGGTCACTGGGTAGCGGGACTTGTCGGTGCAGTAATCGTAGATCATGTGGTTCATACGAACCCACCTGTATCGTCTCGCTTCCTCGGCACTGAGGGTTTGATAAGCAGTGCCCTCCCACCAGTTACTAGGGTTCGAGGCACAGTTCGCTGGCCCTGGCACTGGGCATCCTTCAATGTCAAAGTCCTTGTAGTAAGCTAAGAAAGGAGCTTTGCTCCAATCAATTTTCTCCAGGCCACCCCTTGTTGCCCAATCATCAGCTTCCCAAAGTGTTGAATACACCCCCATAGGCTGGAACTTGGGGTAGGCGATATTTCTAGCTTCATTGTTCTTGTAAACTCTGATTGGCACGCCATCAACGTAAAACCTGTAAACATCAACCAAATTTTAACAGCCCATTAATAAAAACCATGGGTCAATTTAGCACTGCTAAATACTTGTATCATTAATTAAAGTCACCCCAATTAGTCATGCTTGACTTTATAGTGTCTGATAAAAAAGCTGATATAACTTTTACTGATATGATAGATATCTCCCTCTCTCTCTCTCTCTCTCTCTCTCTCTCTCTTTCTTTCCTCCTCTCATTGCATTACCATACAAGTGTCGGCTATGTTTCTTGTTTCGATAGCTATACTGAACTTACACAATATGATGATGGTTCCACATAATTGTGTAGGTATGGAAATCTACAGCAGGATCAAACCAAAGGTTAACCCTTTGTTCCCTGTCACCCTTTCCATGAGCGTATATATTGGTCTGGACAGTATAAGGCTGCCCGCTACGATTTCCCAGGAACTCGAAATCTAGCTCATCTCTTACATCATCTGTATCAGAATTCATCTGCAATCCAAATTAAAAGGAAAACCTATTTAGAAGCTTGAAACTCAGCACTCTTAGAGAACTGATTTCCGGTGTTTGAAAAGAGAGTTAAGTATTGAAGATTATATAGCATATATACATAAAAGGCGGTGACTGTTCCGGCGGAGTCACCAGGGACGAGCTTGATCTTCATGCTGACACGTCCGAACAAATACTGTCTTTTGGAAGCAAATCCACAGCCTGAAAATAAAAAAAAAGAACAACAAAAATTAGTTAATCATGATTATCCAATTTTAAGTTTTATATACATAAAATTTTTACTTAAAAAATAATAAGTGACCCCACGAAAAGTGTAACCTGAGTTTTGGTCTAGAACAAGTTGGATGGCCCTCCCTCCATCGATTTGCCTAATGTGGGAATCAGACCAAGTGATTCGAAAATCTTCAAGAAAAGTGGCTGGTCGCCCCGAAACAGAGAGGGAAATTGCAAGAATGCAAGAGAAAAGCAAAAGAGAAACATTCCTTAAAGCCATGGTCATATGTTGAGAAAAAAAGAAAAGAAAGATGAGAGAGAATTATTATTACGTTTTGGCTTGGCGATGATATGGGAGTCTAGTGTATATATAGGTGGGAGATTAAAAGAGAGAGGTTTGATGTGGACTGCTGCATTCAAATGGAAAGAGCCATCACAGCTTAGCTTTCTATCCAGCTAATGGCAAGCCGTCATTAGGCCCTACCCAACTGTTTTTATTTTGCTTCGGGAGCCTGGTCGTCATCCTAACTTATACTTCTAGCTCTCTAATTTTTCCTGCATCTCAATCCTTTTTGTTTTCATTCCAAACCAAATTAAGTTATGTCCACATTATTAGCTTTCTTCCTCGTGAGAAGTCATGATCAATATACGCAACATCATGAAAATGTAGCGTCACCATATTCTTTTCTCCTAACAATTTTTAAACGCAAAGTTAAAAGTGCCTAACATCCTGACTCATTCGATATCATTGCCATATAACATCACCTTTCGTATGGTTTTAAGGTATAGAAAAGGAAAAGGTGATTACTTATCGATTAGTTTATTCATGTTTCCATGTAATTGAGAAGTATAAGCCTTTCATGGAGTCATGATATTTCCATCCATGAAACTGATTCGGCTTGAACCTAACAAAGTCCAGACAAGCACTTTCGCTACCAAGCTCTGCCTAAAAATTTTGGTCAAATCGCCTCTCGGACTTAATGCTGTAGCCATTCTCATCCAATCATCCTTCTCTGATATATCTGTAGACAGCCGAGAGATTGCGATTGATATGGAACGGCCGGTTGTCCGGATCCGCCCGGTTCAGGCCCCACCACCAATTTCTGGGGTCTCATCTTAGAGTCTGGGCAGGGCCTGGACTGGTTTTGCTCTTAATTGCTAGCTTCTAAAGCACGAGTCGGAGATGCAACTGATTGAAATAATCTTTTGGCATTGGGATTTCATAACAACATTTAGTTTTGGACACGTGGCCGATTGAATACCAACCAATTACTATTACAAATAATCTTCACTTGCCCTGTAATTGTAGAAATATACTACTGTAGTTCTTGGGACAGAGACAGAAATGTTTTACATCAGACTGAGGGGAACCTGACCGACTGCGGCCAATTTAAACTTAAAAACAGACAGTGAAAGCCTTGAGGAACTGAAGACCATAAGACAGAGATCATTCTTTCTCTCCTTGCATTATTGAAATCGAACAATCCTGGGACTGACCAAACGTTGTCTGCCACGTGGTGGTGACCTCAACCCATCATTTTTTTGCTGATTTCAGAGCTCAAACTGCGGACCTTAGCTTCCACGTGGAAGGTAATGATTGGCAAAAGGCCTTGGAATGATGACCGTGGTCTATGTGTAGCGGGTACCTCTCTCGACGTGCACGTCGGAAAGGTTGGAAAGCTTAGTTAACAATCACACTTCTTAAAACGAGATTAGCGTATTTAGTTAATGTTTAATTAAAGCGATTGATGAAGTTTATTAATGAAGTAATAAAAATAACAGTAGTGATGTTCCTTCTTCTTTAAATGATTATATGTGAAAAATTTATAAGAATAATAAAGGAAGTAATTTCCTTATCCAAAGAAAAAAAGAGAGGAGAAAAGAAATCAGTTAGTATATATATGTTTTTATATATTTTTAGTGTATAAGATGTTGGTGGGGATATTTTGGGCCACATATGACGGCAAAGCAAGATTTCCTACAACATGTGAAAATCTTGGTTTTATTTAATGTTATTTTATTCTTTTCCAGCATGCTGGAGAATCTTTGTATACTAGTTTTCTCTTATCCGTTAGTGTTGTCTGCAGATTTCCTTTTACTTTTCTTTTCCCATTTTTCGATTTTTATCTCTCCACGTAAAATTAAAATGGAATAATCTTCTGATTTTTTTTCTCTTTCTATTTACAATCAAATAAGAAATATAAATAAAAGGAATCTGCCAATTTCCTAATCAGGATTAGGAAGATAATAAATGTGGACTGCCGTTGGTATTGAAATTTTGCCCATCATAGCATTCATATCTGCCAATAATTTTCAACTGGGGCTACCACACAATTACCCATTTGTACTTTCAATTTTTTTAAATATTTAAAAATCACAATATGACTTTTTTAACTTTAAACAATTCATCAATTGGATAAATAGAATATTTAAACTCAAGTTTTCTTTTTGGCTATTTAAACTATTATTTCCATTTACCAATCATATCAACTAAATTACCAAATTTGAAGTTAGTGTAAAGATTTCAAGTCTGAGTACTCTAGTGCTATATGTTATAAATACATCTGCGCATAAGTACATCTTAAACTTTTAGTTGAAATAATTAAGTAATAAATTTCCTCATAATGAGTAGTTAAAAATGCTTGTGCTAGTAGATAAAATTAAAAACAAAATTGTCTCTGACTTTTGCAAGTAAAGAAAGAGAAAGAGAAGTGGGGAGAACAGTTGTATTTATAGTACCCATATATCTTTATGAGAAAATTAACTTAATTTTAAGATCTGTTGCAACTGTTACACGGTTTTATGGTTAAAATAATTACTGTTTGTGCAATAAATTTGGGCTCCTTTTGCTTCCTTAAATTAAAAAAAAAATGGATACGGTGATGGAATTAATTTTCTGGCTGTACGTCACTGATTAAAACTTAAAAGAGGAACTAGTTCTTTGAAATGAGGTTTCTAATTAAAGCTAGGTAGCTTCCTTGTTTATAATTTTTTTTAAAAAAGGATGCATTTTGTTGTCCTACTATGTTATTGAGCATCAAAACTTGAACCTAATATTGTATAGCTTTAAACTTTAAAAATAGAGTTTAAATAAGTCTATAAATTATAGATTCACATTTTCAATTTTAAAAAACATGCTTAATAAGTGGTGGAAGACTCATATTATACGTTCAATACCCACCTCATCTCTTCCTGATGTAAAATTCATAATAATTACACCTGTCTTTTATTACTTTTAAGTAATACTATATTTCTTAAAATAACCTAACCTCTTAATGTAGATGAGAGTTTTCACTCGGTTTAAGTACGACAATAGATTCAATTTGACATTTACGTGATTTTGCCTTCAATTAATATATAAATATGCTTTAAAAAATAACTCAACCTCTCTAAATTTAAAAACAAAGCTAGGTATGGTTTGAAAATCAAGGTAATTGATATTAGATTATTTTTTCTCTTGTATAAAGAGGGTTCTTTTTTTATTAATAAAGCTATGTAAAAGGTTATAAATTTGTAAATTATAAGCCTAATTAAACCTTCAAGAAATACCTTATGAAGTAAAATAAGATGAAAAAAATACACACGAATATAAAGACAATAACCATATGATGCATTAAAATATCATATAGTTCTTCCACACTACAATGCCATTATCTTTTCTTCGTCAAACTCACAACCAAGGTCAGTCTTATTAATGGCAAATCGAAATAATGCAGATTTGCTTTCTCCAGTTCTGCTCCAATAATTCAATGGATCTGCATATACATACATACATATATATATATATATATATATATATATATGTATATAACTATCACTGGATTATGCAAATACTGGCTCAATTATTTCGAAATTAAGACCTTCAATGGACAGAAGGTTTAATGTATTTGTTTCTTGCCGGTAATTGAGCATGCTGGATTTGACAAAGCAACAACAATAAGAGGAATCTTACAGGCAGAATATGGCAATTAAGGTTCTCATCTTCCCTTTTCGTTATCACAATTTGGACCTTTCTGATAATGATAACACACAAAAAAAGTTTGTCATAATTAAGAGATTCAAGTAAAAAGTAGCTAGCTGGAAATGCCCTTGACCTTCATTCTAATCTATTTATTATAAGCATATAAATTATTTTTCAATCTTTTCCATCCTTATGGGATTTAGTACTAGTTGATAATCACAATCATAAGTTAATCATATTTTATCAAAAAAATAATTATATATATAATTTCATATTTTATAAAATAAAATAGTTATTTCCGAATTTATAAACTTTGCTTCTTCTTTTATTTTGATCTCTAGGTACTTTGAAATCTTTATATTAAGATCTCAAGTTTTAATCATCGAAATATCTTGAAGATGGTATACTTTCGTGTTATAAACGTTAATATCAATCAAATTTAACAAATTAACTAGTGAATTTGAATTGAGAATGGCTCCTTTTGCCCTGATCCGGTCGTTTTTCTTATGTAGAAATAGTTTGAAAAGGTCTTGTTTGTCTCTCTCTAACGTAGTGTAGTTTTCATATGAAGAATGCCAATATTAACATTTAAGAAGATACAGATAAAATTAGGTAACGGGGGTCCAGACACTAGAACAATTGCACGAGTGGATGGCATTATACAAATCTACGTGTATTGATAAAATTTGAACAGGTATTTTTATTCTTGAAAAGACAATTTGAACAGGTATTGTGTCAAAATCGGCCAAGTACGTTACATTTTTGAATGGTGGTGATGCATGGTTGTATGAACTTTATGGATTTAAACTTGATATATAATAATACTTCTACATATAGAACTATTGACTGTCTCGTTGATGAAATTTTTTAACATAATTTAAAGAGGTTTTTTTATGAAAAAATACTAATTATTTATAAGAGTAATGTTCTTTTATCTAACTTTTGATTGTTCGATTTCTCTTAAATAGTATGAATATAATAAATAATAACTCTAAAAGCATTTATTTTTTAAAAAATCTGATTATCAAAAGCCATAATTTGTGGGCTATGCTGGGGAAGCGCGAGGAGACTGGCATTGTCCAACAAGAAAATAATGGCAGAACCTCATGGCTTCTGCAATATTATGATCTGTAGTTTGATGTGAATGCTTGCTTGCCTTGTTGCATTGCCCAATGTCTTTCTCCCTTTATGTTATTTTCTCTTTAAACGTCGACATGAGAATGGGCACCCACATGCTAATGGATAAGAAAAGATAGCCACCATTTATTTTGAAGGAAATGAAGGATAATTATGTTGTAACTATATTGCCATTATCATGATGTGCATACCTTAACCACCCTCTGATTAGTTACATGGTCTAAACAACCGTGTTCTGTTGTAATCATGCTTTA